GATGTGTGGTATTTCAAAACAATGGCATTCTTGTTAAGAAAAATCATTCATTTGGGAAATGAGGGATAATCTATTGAAAATAAGTGGTTGTGGGCCAACTAGTCTTCAGGTTAAAAGTGTGATGAGCACCAGAAAATTCTGACTTGACCTTGCATCGCTCTCCTTCATTTTCCACAACCTTTGTCCTCTGGGTAACTTTTCCACAAAGACACTTCCTTAAGCATCCGTGGGGAGAGTGTTAACCAGCCTGGAACGGAGCAAATGACCATGATGAGAAAAGCCGTCTTTTCCCAGAGTGCACGCGGGTCGCAAGGCTACAGCCTTTTGAAGCCCATCAGTTAGTGCTTCCAGACAAAACTCAGGGAGGAGGCATCTGCCTCACCACGTCCAGGCTTTTATACGTCTCTGAAATGAACATTTCACAGCTACTTTCCCACAGTCAGAGGAGGCTTCTTACTCTTATCAACATCATTGATGTTTAACGTGACACACCCACACGTGATGCATGGCCGTTCAATCAACTCCTCCCGGACTGTTTATTTATAAGTGATCCATAATGTCATGGAAAAAAATATTTTGAAAATATCAACTATCAGGTGTCATTGTCTTACTCTGCACTTTCCTTGCTCTTGCTTAAGCCTGATGGTAATATATTCTTTTAAAAAGAAACAATTATAGCAATCTAAAAACCAGCCCTCATCCTCAAATTTGTCTTGATTCAATAAATTCTTTTCTTTTATAGTCTCAACTTATGATTTTCTATGAATGATGACGTCTGTAGCAAAGTTGATGCTTTTTATAATTAAAGAAAATCACCGAACTAAAACTTGTCTAACATATTTAAATTGTAAATCTGTCAAGTGTTCATTAATATAAAAATGTGAATGAGGTAAGATTAGCACCATTTATTCTAAGATACATCTATTAAAATCAACAAGTTAAATTATTATGCTTTATATTCATTCCCAATAATTAGAAAGTAATTTTACAACATAGTATTTTTCCTCACATCCACATTTCATTTTTCGAACCTTATCATTTTCATGATCCTCGGTTGTTCATTTAAGAGTTCCAATGCTTTTCCAGAAAGTTAACACATGTTTACGTGTAAGATGCTTGTGACTGATTTTCAAGGTGGTGAACCGAAAGTAAAAACAAAGGTCCTTTTGCTTGGGCAGTCATGACTTGAATGATACTGAGAAACCACTTTTTAAGATGAAGTTTCTTTACATTTCACCAAAATTCCACCATTGGCAGTGTGTCAAAAGTGCTTTCCTATCCAACCCTCTAAAGAAGTGGAAATGTCACTATATCTCATGCCTTCTTAAAATGTTTACTTTTACTTGCAAGGCAAAGTTACAGAAAAAGGAAAGACAGAGAAAGAGAAAGAGAGAGAGAGATCTTCCATCTTCTGGCTCACTCCCCACATGACCACAAAGGCCAAAAGTTGAGTGCATCTGAAGCAAGGAGCCAGGAGCTTCTTCCAGCTTCTCCCAAAAATGTACATGGACCCAAGGACTTGGCACTGTCTTCGACTGCTCTCCCAGGCCACTGCAGAGAGCTGGACTACGAAGCACTGAGACTCAAGGGCTCACTGGGGTCGCATCCACCAGCTTAGAATGGTTCTTTCTCTTCTCAGAGCCCCGTGTTTTCTCAATGAAATGGGCAGGCTCTTTCTAATTGAACATGGCAATCCGAAAACCACTCTGAGGTCTGCTGTGCTTCTACGTGTAGTTGGCTTCTTCCCAAAGTTTTACGGAAATGAAGCCCCAATTCCCCTAGAGATTGGGGTGTTCAGTTATGGAATGGTGTCTTTCTAGGAAGTGTCCTGAAGCATGGAGATCCACCAATTGAAGGGCTGCCCCATCCCTGGGAACATCCTGCATCCGATGACTGAACGTTAAGGGACAGAAAACCACACCCTCCAGTCTCAAGTCAGGACATCTCCACATGGCAACTCCGCTTCTAAGGTGTCCAGGCTGCCAGCTGTAACAATCCAACTTCTTCCTGTGCCAAGTCTGGCGTTTTGTTTTTTCTCATTACCTGGTAGATATTAAATCTAAGGGCACAGCTGGTGCTGTGATAAATGCTTCAGTGTCTGCGTTTTCAGGAACCTTATCTGGAACAGACATTAAATTCTCTCTTCCAATGGCAATAGCAGCGCCTCCTGCAGGCAGGATTGCCCTACATTGGTCAATAGTGCTCCTGGATAATCAGGAAGTAATGAAGCCAATATTATTGCCCAATAATCATTGTATAAAACATGTTGAGACAGGATAAAATTGTTTCTGTGGAATAAGTGTTTGGTAGGACACAATAATGCTATGTGAAATTTTTTATTTGTAAATCTGAAAGTGAAAACTGTATTATAACATAATTTTCCATGGGAAAAACAAACAAGCCAATTTCTTTTTTTTTTTCAAAGATTTATTTATTTATTGGAAAGTCAGATATACAGACAGAAGGAGAGACAGAGAGGAAGATCTTCCGTCCGATGATTCACTCCCCAAGTGAGCGCAACGGCTGATGCTATGCCAATCTGAAGCCAGGAGCCAGGAATTTCTTCCGGGTATCCCACGCGGGTGCAAGGTCCCAAAGCTTTGGGCCGTCCCTGACTGCTTTCCCAGGCCACAAGCAGGGAGCTGGATGGGAAGTGGAGCTGCTGGGATTAGAACCAGCGCCCATATGGGATCCCGGGGCGTTCAAGGCGAGGACTTTAGCTACTAGGCCACGCTGCTGGGCCCGCCAATTTCTTAAGCCTTTATTTCTCAGGACTAAATAAATCTCAGCATCAATAACAAAAAAATATGGCCTGGCCCAGTAGCAAAGTGGCAAGAGTCTTTGCCTTGCATGCACCAGGATCCCATATGGGAGCTCATTTTAATCTTGATGGCTCTGCTTCCCATTCAATTCCCCTAGGGGCCTGGGAAAGCAGTGGAGGACAATCCAAAGCCTTGGGACCCTGCACCCATGAGGGAGACCCAGAAGAAGCTCCTGGCTTTGGATCAGCTCATGCCATTGCGGCCATCTGGGGAGTGAACCAGCAGATGGAAGCTCTTTCTCTCTGCCTCTCCTTTTCTCTGTAAACCTGACTTTACAATTAAAAAAAGGCTTTGTTTAAAAATAATTTAAAAATAAAAATAGGCAGAGTTATAAAGAATGAGGAAAACTAAGTGGGAACACAGCCAATAAAAGACAGTTTTTTTCCCTTTCCATAAAAAATGAAGCAAAATCAAGATATTATTAAAGAGAACACAATTAAATTGAAACTTAAAGAAATAAAGGAAAAAAATACAATTACATCTACATAATTTTCAACCTCAAACTAAAATTAAAGCATATACATAGTAAAAAAAAATTGCTCAAAACTGCTAGATCTTATCACACAAAGTTTCTATGTTCTGTCCTGAATAATGAAATTCTTACAAAGTTTTCTTTCAAGAACTTTGATATTTTTTTCCCTCCCTCTCTCGTTGTTGTTCTCTGTCTTCTCTATTATTTTCTCCTCTACTGTCAAAGATTTCTACAAGTCCAACACATTTCTAGATCTCTCACTTTATAGTTCCCTTGATCTTTCTGCAGAAGTCAACTAATTCTGTTCCATCCAAATAAGCATTCAAAGGAATGTGAACGTGAAATTGTCCTTGAAAAGCAAGTTGGTAAACTGACACATATTCACTAACGTAAGTTCAACCAAGCCTTCCGATTCCACAAATGAACTGTCTGCTAAGTAGATATAGATGTTTCAGAACTTGGCAGCCAGGGAGGTGTCGATCTTGGCAAGGCAGCAAGAGCTGACTCAGTGGCCCCGGACTAACCACATCTGATCCCTGCTGAGGCAATGGAGGGCCTCACTTACTGTCTTCTGCCTTTGTCCTTGTCAGTAGGGGCTGTTTTCTGTTAGCTTCGCCTTTCACTTGAAGCCCTAGGACAATGTTGAACACAGTGTCACTGGGCCTGGTGCCAGACAGGATCAGGGGCTCTGGAATATTTAGAGTTCCCCTTCTTCTGCTTCTATAAGTGAAATGGGCAGTCTGAATGGAGAAACCCAAGGACCAGCTGGCTAAAGACACGACTGGCAGAAAAACACTGGGGCGCCGTCCAAGAGCTGGTGTTGACAGAGAAGCCATTTAAAGAGCAAATGCCAACTACCACACTGAGGGCTTTGCTCCTTGGGCTTCAGGATAAAGCAGTGAAATCTGACTCAAAATCATTTTTTCCCGCCCAAAGTTTGGAACCTAATGCTTACAGCTTAAGAAGCATGTGAATCTTACAGTCAGTCCCATAAAATAGCAAGTTCTTTACACTGACATCCAATATATACTGGAAACTTTGACAATGATGCATTCTGGATGGTTGTGGCCAAAGTCTTATTTTTGCTTAAGTTCATTCATGCAAGAAATAAATAAGATTGCGAAGAAATGGAGCCAGCCAAAGAGAACAAGAACTGACAGGATCTGGACTCGATAGCACAGCGTACAGCCAGATGCTTCGGCTAAGTCGAGAGGTTATTAATATATCATGAGGCCAGCTGACAAACAAAGGCAGATTTCCTTTTATAAAATGAAACGTTGCTCCAAGCTTGGGATTTAAAAAGTGCAAGAATTGTGGAGGTAAAAACCACATTAAGCACTGGAAACTTAGCAAATATTGTTGATGTCATTTTCTCGCTGGGCTGTGATATTGACAACCATGGGTTGGCCACTTATTTAACCCTAGTTTCTCTGATAAGTGTCAAATCAATACTATACACCTGACCATGTTCATAGAGAGAGAGAGACTTATAACGTAACCCGTTTTGCACATTATGAGCTCATTTCCCTCCCCCAAATAGATGAACTTGATGGGTATTAGCAAAGCTGCCCCTTGTTACGTAGGCATGATTGGAGAAGGGACCCAGAGCAGGGGGAAGGGGTCCCCCCGTGGCGCGGGTCTATCAGCAGCTCCGGCGCTAGGAGTCTAGCGGGAGCCAGCTTCCCGACACCCCCTGGAATCGTTACCTCGATGTAGGGCACGATCTTGCAGGAGAAGTCCTCCAGCAGCCACTTTTTGGTGAGCTCGTGGAAGATGACGAGCGGAAGGCAGAAGAAAATAATGAGGAAGTCCCAGAAGGCCAAGTTGGCCAGGAGAGAGTTGGAGATGCTCCTCATGTAGTAGTTGTGACATACAATGCACATGACCGCCAGGTTGCCAATGATGCCGGTGCCGAATATCACCACGGACAAACACATGACCGCGTAGGCTCCATAGGATTCCTGGGTCAGCGGGTAGAAGGGGTTCTTTAGCCTCACTCGCCGGTTCGTGCTGTTTCCCCGGTGGGGACCCCCGCGCTCGTGGATCCCTTCTCCTGAAGACCCATTCTGGGCCAGTGCCCTGCCTGGGGGTGCAAATGTCCGCCCTTCGCTCCCTGCCAGCCCATTGGCCGACTTGAGTGGGGGCTTATGGTGGGAATCCTGGAGATGGCCAGCAGCTCTCCTAGGCCAGTAGAGATCGCTGGCTACGGGTTCCTTTTTCACACTGCGCTCCTGACTGCGTCTGACAGCGCCCCCAGGACCCTTCTCTTCTTCCTCTGAGGTCTGGAGGAAGAGCTGGAGGGCCGTAGGACCCCCCCTCCTCAAAGTGCTAGACACATCCTGAATCCGGACACCTTTCCGTTTCCAGGCGCCAGGCGGCCTGCTCGGAGGTCCCGAGGGCCCAGCGGTGGACACCTCTGCCCCTCTGCCAGCACCTGGGTCACCGCTCGAGGTGTCTGGCAAGTCCCAGGAGGGCGCAGAGCGCAGAGCTGCCTCCTGCTCCTCCCTGGGCGCGCGGGCTCGGAGAACGCCTCCAGCAGAATTTGCCGGTCCCCAAGTGCCTCGGCTGCGGCGCTGGATCAGTCTCGCCAAACAGCTCTCCCCGAGACAAGTCTCATTCCTGGGCGCAGGGAGGGCGAACCCAAAGGCAGAAGCGGCAGACATCTGGAGGAGGAGTAGAAGCAGCAGCCGCGAAATGCCGGCGAGAGGTGCTTCGGGAGCCCGCATGGCTGAGCGAGGGCGCGCCGGGCAGGGGCGGCTCCTGCTTAGGGTGCACACCTGCTGCAGAAGTTGCTCCAGCGAGTTAGACACATGTCACATACTCACCCCGCAGGGGCTGCGCGAACCTCAAGCTGTCCAGGAGGGTAAGGGGCGGGCCTTGGGTCCCGCGCTATCTGCCTTACAATCCTTCCTGGTTAGGCATTCTGTGCTTTTCTTAGCCGAACCCAATCCGAGCTCTGATGCCCCCACGGTTCGGAGACAGAAAGGATACTCCCGGTGGCTGACCTTGAAAAGTTGCAACCAACACCTGAATGTCGATTAACGTTGCGCCTGGAAGAGCTGGGACGAAGCCCCCACGCTCCTCGGGGTGGCTGCCTTCTCGGGTACAGTTTCTCTGCCTGTTTACATCCCTTCCATACTGCTTTATCCAGTTGCAAACGGAGGTCTCCGGACGCAAAGAAAAACAAGGTCCCCTCCCCCGCCCCAGATGGTTGGCAGACAAATCCCGCTCCTGGCTGGCTGGAAACAGGTTGCCGAGGTCAGACGCAGAGCTAACGCGCGGGGCGGGGGAGACGCTCGCCCACCAAACCCCAGCGAGTAGCTAGGCTACTAGAGCCCCAAAGGAGCGGGACTCGAAACCCGCAGCTATGGCCAAAGTTGTTTCTCTTCCAGCTCAAAGTTGACGAAGGGGCGGCCCCGGCTGCTGGGCGCGGTGCCCCAGCGGAGGAGGGAGTCGTGGGTAGAATTGCGGGAGAGAAGGCAGCCGCTGTGCTGCGGGCCGCGGGAGCGTGTCACTGGCACGGCGGGCGCCGCGGGGAGTGTGGTGCCTGGAACGGCCGCGGGTGAGGCTGTGCATGGCCGGGAAGGGGGAGGTGGCCCGGCCTCTCCCAGCCGCTCCAGCCACTGCGCGCGCCCGTGACACCGCCGCTCGTCGCCTCGGTCCCCGCCCCCCTTGCTTCTAGGAGTCGCTGGTTTGTAGGGATACAGGATCCCCTGGTGGTTTGCCATCCACTAAACCCTCACGCGTTCCATGCAAGCCTTTTGTAGCGGTCCTCACTCCTAGGGGATGAGAGCGCCGAGGGAATAAGGGCGGAGGCGCGGAGCCTGCGCGGCAGGAAGCTAAGGATGGGAGGGACTGATGTGGGAACCTGCCGGACCGGTGCCTGAGCCGGGATAGGGTTGCGGGGAGCAGGGGAGAGGGAAGAAGGTTTGATGAGGTGAAGAGGGATAGCAGGGAGCGTAGATGGGGCTAGGGCGGCGCTACCGCCTCCAGTGGCCCAGGCCCAATACGCATGCCCAGACCTCGCCCCTAGGGAGTTGTAAGGTGAGGCGCACACCTCTCAGGTTTAAAAAGTGTGAGTTTAGAGGTTTTCCCGATAGAAAATAACCAGTTCCGCAAGCAGGACGGACAATTAAGGATGCTTAGATGCACCTGTGCCTTTCACACTGCGTTAGGAAGCTTCCTGCCTCAATTTTGAACCGCTGAGAGCACAGAGCATGGAGTTTGTCATAATGAAAAAAGAAGTGGGAGGTTACCGAGGAGGAACTCCCAGCATGACTAAAGCCTGTGCTCCAGGCTTTCTACTCTATTCCCACAGCGCTGCTGCAGATGTCTGTCGGGGCATAATCAGACAAATTAAAGATAGGAAGGGAGGAAGGAAGGGAGGGAGGGAGGGAGAAAGGATATCCTGAGATGAAAATAATTCTCTCATATGCAGATTTCATTTAGTTTGGGCAAATTCCAGGAGTGGTGTGTCTGTATCATATCACAGACCTATGTTCAAACATCTGAGAAACCTTCATAGTGTCTTCCACAGTGATTGTTCTAGTTTATATTCCCATAAACAGGGGACTAAGGTGTGTTTCCCCTCATTTTCTCTCTAGCATTTTATCTTTATTAAAAATAATTTTTGGGAGGTAGCCATTCTAATTGGGGTGTGGTAAATCATTGCATCTTTTTAATTGGCATTTCCTTGATGGAGAATGACCCTGAACATTTTCTCATGTGTCTGTTGGCCATTCAAATTTTATCAGTTGAAAAGTGCCTGTTCATGTCCCTTGCCCATTTCTTAAGTGAGTTGCTTTGTTGTTGTTGGGTTTCTTGAGCTCTGTATGGGTTCTGGATTTTATCATCTATCAATTGCGTGATTTGCAAACATTCTCTCCCTTTCTGTTCTTTGGCTCTTCACTTCATTGACGGTTCCCTTGCAGTGCAGAAGCTGCCTAGCTTGATTCACGCACATTTGTCTATTTTGGGTTTTATTGCCTGTGCATCTAAGGTCCTTTCCAAGACAGGTTTACCTGTACGTGTGTCTTGTGACGTTTTCCAGTATTTTCCTCTAGAAATCTCCCAGTATAAGGTAATAGATTTAGAATCATGATATAGTCTAAATTAATTTTTGATTCACTCTCCCAGTGGCTGTAATGGCCAGAGCTGAGCTGATCCAAAGCTAGGAGCCTGTAGCTTCTTCCTGCTCTCCCATGTAGCTGCATGGTCGCACGGCTTCGGGCTGTCCTCTGCTGCTTTCCCAGGCCATAAGCGGAGGGTTGCAAGGGAAGCAGGGCCGCCAGGATTAGAACCAGTGCACAAATGAGATTCTGGCGCATGCAATGTGAGGACTTCACCCACTAGGTTCCCTTACTTGGACCTTTTACTGAAAAGATATACCTATCAATTCCTACCTAGAGGAACTCTATCCATGTTTCCCAAGCAGGTGGCATTAACCCGAGCCTTGGGTCATCGGTTGCCTCCAAGTTACAGCAGCAAGAACTGTGCTAGAAGCAGAACAGCCAGGAACTGAACCAGGCATTCAGGATGCAGTTGTGCCAACCCATGAGTTAACACAATCTGGCCCTAGACCTGCCTCAACATTTTTTTAAACTTCCACATGTAAAAAAAGAACATAAGGTATTTGTCTTTTTTTTTTAATCTGCTTATTTTACGACCCACTCTGCTACAAATGTCGTAATTTCTTCTTTTTTTTCTTCTTTTTTTGGTTATTAGAAATTAGCTATTGTGTCACCATAACAGAATTATCACCGCTGTTCACACAGCCCCTCCGGCCTCGATCAGTGATGCCCTCCTACTTGGCTGCCCGCCCTGTTCTGGCTCCTGAGTGATGGCTTATTCTTACCTTGTAACTCTGTTGGAACCTGAAACAGCAACATTTTTAAATCTTCATATAAACACTTTTTTTTTTTTAATTTATAAAACAGAAATTCTATACCTACTCTCAGATCTGCCCATCTAAGTTCTTATGTTGGCTAGACAGGTATGAAAAGACCTCATAAGCAAAAATCATGTATTACTTTTATTACTTTTATATGACTATTTGTTGTATCTAGCCAAGTTTCAATGCTATCAAGAACATTTAAATCCAGAGGGAGATTTTGTTTGAGAAATAAAAGTCTACAGTAGTATTAGGTTTAGAATGTATCCATGGCAATAAGAAAAACAAATGTCTTTCAAATCTTTTTCCAATACTATGTCAGCTGTAGCTATAATTTTTTAAATGGCAATAGTCACAACTCATGTATTTCTGCGGCCTGCTTTAAAAGTATAGATCAGAAAGGAAGTTTAGCTAATCATTGCTTGGCTTACATCCAAATCTATTTATCTGTACGGAAAGAACTAATTTGAACATGGATTTTTTGGTGTCAGCATTCCACAGAGTTTATAATACATAAAATTGATTCTCTATACAAATGAGAAGATGTAAATTACTACCTGTCTTGGCATTTCTATGAAATCCATTACACTCCATTTAGTGTTTGCTGCGCTGAAATAAGACACATTACAAATTAAGAGAAATGGCTATTTCAAGTTTAAAATAGATCACTGGACAGAAAAGAAGTTTTACACAGCACACAATTCATGTCCAAAGTAATCTCTTTCCTCTTTGCTTCAGAGAACACAAAGGGACCGTTTTTCTAAAAGAAATGGTGAGTTACAAGCAATAGGTTGTTACTTTTTGAGACTCAGAATACGTCTTCTTTAGCAACTGTTTCTGGTCATAAATTCTGTCCCTGAATTATGAATTGTCACTTTGGCATCCTTCATTAACCATCTATTCTGTCTCTTCTCCTTGCACATATGGCAACCTAATTAGATTAAAGCAATTGTTGTGATTTGGGACATAGCACCATTATGGCCATGTCTATCTGGAAAGTAAAATATCAAAGCTTAGAATGATATAAAAATTAAAATTGACATTTAACACAAAAATAACTTTTAGGACACAAATACACACATTTTTGACCTACCTGTGGACCACTGCACTATATCCTATTACATAAACAAGCTCTTCGAAAGAAATTTACACGTGGTAAGGGATAAAAGAAACAAGCTAATGTAGATTTTCAAACATTCTCAGATTTTTGTAGCTTCCAAGGGAAGTAAATGCCTGTGAAGTATTAATCTTTTAATGAAAATTCATTCAGAATGAACAATGCTTTGATACATCAGTGTCACTGAGTCAACACTGAACCAGCAGACCGGAATATCTGTCTCCCACCCTCAGGCCTTCTCTAATACTGCTTTTTCTCTAGCAACTATGTTACTTTAATTTTGTATCTTGTTAATCATTATAGTGACCAGAACTTTTACACAATTAACCAAATATGTATAATGACACACGTATGGTTATGTTGTTTCTTTCTCCTATTTTCAGGTTCAAGCTGTAAATTGTATCAGCAAGATTCCTTTCAAGACTAGCCAAAGCAACACTGCTACAGCTGCAACTAATGTTCTCCAAGTCAATTTTCTGATTTATATCAGATAATACGCAAATGTAAAAGTAAGTCAAGTGAATCTTAAAAAGCCTAAGTCATTGCATAAGATACCAAATATCATTGCATTTGAATTTCAGCAATCAGAATGTAATTTTTCTATACAGAATGTTAGTATGCATTTCTATATGAACAGGGAAGGGTTAAAACAGTGAGAAGGGATCTAGAAAGGTATTACATCATTGATTTAAATTTCTTGGAGAACAAATTAGGGTGCCAGGTGAGAGACTGTTTCAACAGACACACCTAAGCCTTGAGTCTCGGCTTTTGCAGCAAT